AGTCCACTGTGCTACAATGCTTCCTTGCTGCTACCACATCTCCTATGAGTCCATGAGTAGCTGCACATTTTTTACCAACCCCAAAGGTCAAGAGACCATTTACCACCCAACGAGATGACAACTCTTCCTGCTGGAAAACATAATCCGTATCCCAGAAAAGTCTACAATAACTTGCTGAAGGGTCATGGCTTGCAATCAAGCAATGAAGCATGAAAGGTACCGCCTCAGATTTAACAAAAGCTTTTCTCCCCATTCAGTACCACTGATGTCTAGAGCAGTCTATGCTAGATGCCTTAAGTCCTGTTCCCTGAAGTTTAAGATACCAGGAATACCTGCACATCTGTTACATAATACATTGCTGCAGAGCACTTGTTTCATTCACTGTTCAGCTTTGCAGATCTTGTGATTTTTTTCAGCCTACATACCATTAAAGACATGAAATCTAAGCAACATGGAACTTAACAGACTATGAGCAAAGTTATTCCCTACCCCTCCAGCTGAGATGAAAACAAGAAATACTAGAAGTGTTTCTATTTGTACATGTAAGAGAACAGTCAACACTTCTTCAGCTAACTTCCCATTGAAATCAAGTTTTGTACTCTCCTAGGGGTATCTAGGGCTCCCTTTGTAAAAGCTGTGCGACTGCAAACAAGTTATTTCACAATGACAACATTCAGCCATTGGTATAGTCTCCCCAGGGAAGCAGTGGATTCCCCAACACTGGACATTTCTAAGATTCAGCTGCACAGGGTACTGGGCCATCTTGTCTGGACTGTGCTTTTGCTAAGAAAGAATGGACCAGATGATCCTTGAGGTCCCTTCCAACCTGGGATTCCATGATGCTACTTACATCTTACTTCACAGAAAACTCACCGAATCCTTAAGACTTCTAAACTTAGCATCCTAACCACTAGCCTATTATCCCATTATTAAAAAGTTTCGTGGGCTTTCAAACTCTCATTAAAAACACCTTCATGCTTTGACTGCAGACTGCTTAAAGCACATGAGACCTGAACTCAAAGCCAGTGCGATACTATGCTGCTGGACTTCCTCATCACTCAGGTCAGCTGCATCATCTACTTCATCAGTGACAGTAATTAAACTTGATGAATTTTACTAACAGTGGTTCCCTGACACTGATTAACCTACTTGCTCACCATATTTGACTCCTTTTCAAGGTTTACAAGTTAAACACAGAGCATGCAGATGTACTACAAAATACACAAAACAGTGGTAAAAACTGCAAGAATGAAGTTTTATTAATATTATTTACAAGTAACTTTCCCCAGCACCTCATAGATACAAATGTACTTTAGTTACTTCTAACCACGATTAATCTCTTGGTGTTTCAGTGCAAAGTAGTTTCTCCTTTGCACACTTAAAGACTAAGGAGTTACGTATTTGGACCATAAAGCTACCTAAAACCAACAGTAATGAACTTTTAAAATATTTTTTACCAGCTGATTAAAAAAAGTTTTGACTGTTCTTCATGACAGCCCCCCATTTGGTATTTAAGTTATCTATAATCTCTTCAACAATCACTAAAACCACACAAACATGCAGTATCTGGAATATCAATAGAAAAATACTGTGTTTACAAGTGTCCAAGGTATCAAATCTCATCACCTCATGACAATACATTACATTAAGAATATTATGGCAATGAAGGAAGAATTCAGTCATTTTCAACCATGAACTATGACATGCACACTTGACCCATAACTGCCTTAACTGCTGGAATGACAAACATTAACATTTAGAGAAACTCTGGCTGCCCCAAACTGTCTTTCAAACTACCTACATTAGAATAAACAGAGGTAAAGAGACTTAATTTATTAAAGCACAAAGTTTGTCCTTGTTTTTTTAACCTGTGCTTAGTTTATGACAGAAGTTAAAAAACCAACCAACCCAAAACACAAACACCACACAACGACAGCAGCAACTGTATTTGTTCACTTAACTCACTTTAAAATCCCCACTGATCCATAGGAGAAAGAAAAAAAGTGCCCTTTTCTAGCAAGTAACCTTATTTGGTAGATGGATGTCATAATCCACAAGGGAATCACTGAACTGTTAAAAGTATCCATCCCTTCCCACAGAAATGTATCAGATCTATAGCAGGTTTTTTAATTACTCACCTTCTTCAATGTTTATGTTTACTTATAAGACCGTCTGAAGAGCTACAGTAGACAGTCTATACTACTGGAAACGAGCAAATGTCTGACCTCTGCTCTTCATATATTTTCCTACAAAAATATTTTGTGACCTGATCTAAATTAGTGTCACCGGCTACACTCCATCCATTTCCCATTCTGGCTTAGAAATTACTTATTTAAAAGGAATGACCTTGTCACCATTTCAGAACTTGGCATTCGCCTGTGTAGAACTAAAGATGAAAACAGTGTAGACAGAAGCTAGATGTAAGGACCTTGTAGAGGAGACTTTTCCCCCCTTGCCAATTAATCAAATCACTGAATAAATGTCTGAACTTATATATTTAAGAATAATATTGCTAAAAAACTTTAAAACATGTGATTCCCTTACGCTTCTTTTGCCTTACTAAAGAGGGAATACCTCCACTACTAAAAAATAGCTTTTGTTGCCTAGTCTGATGCACAGACAGCAGTGCCTGTGTATTTAAACATTAGGTCTGCATTCTGCACAGTAATTTCCATCTACAGACAATCCAATATTCTCAGCTTGCACACGAACAAAGAACTACAGAACTATGACCTACCGCAGAAATCCTCGGGTTTCCAAAAAACACACATTTATGAACAATCGCAATCTAACAGATCCAAGTTGTTAGAGGAAAATGTAAAGAGTGGCAGTTTTCTGAACCCAGTTCAGTGGAAAGAAGGAGGATAAACAGACCCATCGTAGCTGAGGGTAACGTACTTGCCTACCATGTGGAATATCTCAACCTCGTTCCAGCTTTTGTGACAGATTTAGAACTGCCTTAACTGGAGACACTTTTCCACGCTAGTTTTATCATCTAAATACACCAAAAGTACACATTTTGATGTGTTAAATTCAGCTGTGCAGGCACCACGTAACAAAAACAAAAGTGTCATGAAACATTATTAGCAAAGTTACAGATGAGGCTGGGAGCAGTTCCACATGGATGAAGTCATCAATTATGTTTATGTACACTCACGAATCAAGTTTCTAAGTCTCTGAACTATTTTTTTTTTTTGTAAAGACAAAAATATATACAATCCAAAGCAAATCAATCTCCCAAACAGCTTCACAAGCCTGTTTTGCAATCATACATTTTGAGTGTCATTAACATAACTGCATACATCCTGTTTAGAACTGACCATGTAAAAGCATGATTAAAGTAGTGTCAGGGTAAAAACCTGGAAAAAATTTAAAACACCACATGCCAAAACAAGCATACTAAACAAGTTATGCAGAATGCAGCCTTATCTTATGGAATTTGTATTTCAAAGAAAATGCTGAATGGAAAGAGATAAAGTACTTGAAAAATAGCCAGTATGACCACTGATTATATAGGTAGATAAGACCAAAAAAAAAAAAACTTGTTTTTCCAAGCATGTTTAAGAATATATAGTTTTTGCTATTATGTTATTATCAACACTCCTCATCATTCACAATCCTTATCTCCACAGTGAGCACAGTATAAAATGTCTCAATAGGTTTGGGGTTTTTTTTGGTGTGGTTGTTTGGGGTTTTTTTTGTTTCATTGTTTTAAGTAGCGCAACAGTTTTATATATCCAAAATAAAAGGTAAATTTAACAGCAATCAAAAAAAAAAAACCTACTTACATCCTGAAGCCATGGGAAATATTAAGTAACCATTCTGCATTCTCACACATTACTGCATAATCACTGTAATTCTGAGTTGCAGATAACTGTTTTCTTTCCTGCTCTCTAAAATAAAACCAGCTTTCTCATCCCTGAATGATTATACCTAAATTTCAATTTATCCATATTTATTACTGGGATAATTTCATAGCCCATAACAAAAAGCATAGAGATAAGCACACACATTGAGCAAGCATTTCCAGAGCATTTTCATGCATATCTTTGTTTCAGCAGATTCCTTGTTACCTAAGCCGATTTTCAGCAGAAAAATGTGGATTTTTTTTCAGCGTGTTAGTCTTGCTGATAGGAGCCCTGAAAATATACTAGTATTATATAAATGTTCCCAGTTTCTTGATTTTCCTAGTCTATGGATGATTTCAGTACATTTCTTCCCTCGACTACTCATTACTGTTCCCCATTATCATCTGGTATCTCTGGAACTCAAGCTACGACTGCAACAATTTGAATTCTGAGAAGTAAATTTCTGACTGAAATTAGTATTCACCTAAAAATAATCAACTCTACTGGTAGTTGTCATTACATGTATCTGCGCTAAGCATAACCGTGGCATTTGGCAGCTCAAGAAACTCTCCATTAATTTCCACAAGAAAGCATTTTATGCCCACAGATACTCGTGAAATACAACTGATAAAATAACTCAGTTTTCCCTGTACCTGTATTTCATTTAATTTAGTTAATCCAAGCCTACTGCTCAATACCCTTAATTCCTAAAATAGGCAGAAACTTTACAAGGTCGAATGTACCACTAAAGAACACAAAGATCCCTTGAAAAGTGATGGCTAAAAGGATTACAAAAATTAGAAAGGTATTTAGATTTGAATAGGATCTTCATCTCAAGTAGTTGCATCACATACAGAAATACTCTATCTATACATTACTTATTTCTTATTTTTCATATTGTCAATATGTAAATACTGTTTTCATCTTGTAACATGATACAACACACCATCCACATTTCAAACACATACACCTGTTCATAAGCACCAGGAAGAATTAGATCTTGATGTTTCACTCACTGAGGTCACTTTGCACAAGCAGATAAACTGATTTTGTTAGAACAATTAAAAGAAGATAGTTATTTAAAAGAAAACAAAAAGGGCAACTGAGAAAGAAGGATTACAAGAATTGACAAAGTAAGTCCAGAATCAATACCTTTAGTTTTGATCCATGGGGCACAGGAGGATAACCATCTTGTCCAGGTGGAATGAACAACTCCCACTTCCCATATTCCATCTTCTTATACGGATGAGAAAATGGATTCCAGCCATCTGCAATTTAAAAAATAATACTATGCATACTTACCTTAGAATGTGTCAAATTACAATTCAAAATAAAACAGCGTGTTTCATCTTTTCCAGATTAAACTCAGTGACAGCAGACAAACACTTTTTTATCTGATAGTATCACACACATTTCAGGAGAGGCTCAATAAAATGTTTACAACTCACTAAGAAACCATACTCCAACTCTAATTTGACAATGATTACATTATTTCTACTTTACCTTCTTTGATCAAAGTGAAAACAACCTCTCCCTCTCCAAAAATCCACTACTGATTTTAGTATCATAAAATCATGGTGGCATGAGAATTAATGGGTGAAAAGTAATGTTTAATGTAGAATTTAAACCGAAAACCTCACAGTAAACATGCCAGTGGAAGCATCTGTTACAACACTAAGGGGGGGAATTACCAGCACAGAAAGGGAAGTGAGTTTGGACAAAATGTAACCAAAACCAACCTCTACAAACTGAATGCTGCACCCAGGTTTGGACACACACACTGCTCACTGCCTCTATTTTGACAAGCTGATGTCTTATTAATAACACTCATTAAGTATGTAAAAAGAAAAAAAAAAAAGACAAACTGCAGACAAACTTTGTAGCAATGGCTAGGAAACCACTCAATACCAGACAGTGACTACACAACCAGAAAATCTGGCCCAAAATGCCACAGTTATTTGAGTCAGTCTGGAAGCAAATTCCTTTTTCATTAAAAAAAAGTTTCATGAACCAAGCTTTGATTCCATAATTTGAGATTGTTTGACCTCTTTGTATTCACTAAGCACTGGAGACATGTAAGGTTGGTCATTGTGACATGCCCAATAGACATCTGCCAAGATCTTGTGTTTGTATGCATGTTCAATGTTAACTCATATGAATAAGGCTGAATATAAAGCTTCTGAACAGACACACTTAAGTAATGCAATTATTTCTAGACTAGAAGGAAGTGGCCAGCCAAGTTTGAAAACCACTTTTTTTTTATTGAAACATGGTCTATCTCACACAGTTCAAGGCAACAGAGACTTCTAAGCAGACAAGAAATCAGTCAGAGAAAATTTAACTGCACAACATCAAAGCAACACATGCTACCCTGTTTGCATGCCATGTTCTCTGGTTATAAAAGGAAAAAAAAGAAAGAGGTGGGTTACACCTCAATGAAGGAAGAATAAGCAGCCTTCAGTAACCCATTTACAGGAGATGCAGTGCACAGTATGAAGCAGGTATCCTGTAACAGCTAACACTGTTCAAACCCTAAAACTGTAGTTCCATGACTAGCTTAAGCTAATATAAAACAATAATGCTACTAAGCATAGTAGTCAGGGTTAAAAGCAATTCAGTAAAACTCTGCACATGCCACTGGAGCAGGATCATCAGTTTTTGCATCATTGAAGTCACAACAGGGGAGGTAGAGAATTGAAGAAGTTATCTATACTCACCAACGTATGTATTTTCCAATAAATGTCAGTACTTAAAAATATTATTTACTGTGCAACAAAGATAACCTTCTCTAACAACATATGGATGTCTGAGTTTCAAAGAGACTAGGCCACTTTCAAAGTAAGGTGATGCTCTTAGACAGTTGTTTAAACTTGAGAACTGCCAGACTTTAAAGAACAAAACTGAAAGGGACAAATCAAACAGGCTAGACAATGTGACAAAAATAACTATGAAAGACAAATATTCTAGTACCTATTCATTTTACAATACAGAACAATGTCAAAACCAAAAGATTATTATAATAAAATATTTCCTACGCTCAAAACCAGAAATAAAATTAATTCACTACTCCATTGACACAATAGTTTTTATCACTATTAAGGTATCTTGATAGTGCTGACTGAAAATACACACAATTAGCAGAAAGAAAGTATTTACTAAACTATTGCTTGATTAATAGCAGTAGAGCTTGTACATTAGCAATATTTAGATGGGTCTTCCCTCTTGGTTTTACCCTGAAGTTTCCATCCAGACAAATACAATGAAACAAACACTACTAACATCTACTAGGTCCAACATTGAACAAACAACACCTTAGTAATAAAGCAATCCTCCTTAAAAGAATGTCAAAGCTATAAACACTATACAGCGTAATACATCTATTTTATTTTATTTCAGCAAATGGTAAAACGATGTAGAATACAACACTAGGATTTCAGGACTTGATGGGGAAAAAAAAAAAAAAGAAGTCGTACTGTAAATTACAAGCCTGTCAGTGATCATCACTACCAGGAGAAAGAGACAGCAGTCATGTGAGCAGGGCTCCTGAATGCTCCCAAAACACTGAAAGTACTTAAAGGGCAAAAAGGGGGTTGGAGGCATAAAGTAGGGCAATACATTATGCATAAAGTAGAAAAATTACATGCTCATTTAGAACACTTTTGCATAATCCAAGTGACACTGATACAGTCCCTAAAGCAAAATGAATGAGAACTGAGGGGTACAGAGTCAGGTAAGGCCCTGGAAGTCTACTGGAAAAACCAAAGACACCTGGAAACACTTATGCCTGTGTCTGCACAGTTACAGCACATTTTGTCCAAGGAAGGACCTTCATTTAGAGTGTAATATCAGAAACAGCACCAGAACTTAAAATACCAGCACATGACAGGAACCCTATACCAAATGCTCAGAAAAAGCATCTCCAAAACAACACTGCACATTATAATAGAACAACAAGAAAAAAAAAAAAACACACACACAAAGCTGGTAAAAGAGTTTCAAAGTTAGCAAAAGTTTAAACTGGTATTTTCTTTTCAACTGCAAACAACTGTTATAAACAATTCAGGCAAAAATAGGAAAACTTAGGGTAGATGAAAAAGTAACAAACTCCTGAAGAAGTTGCAAGACTACTTTAAGGAACCTGTTGGGATTTATGACAGTCAAGATCTTCTTATGGGAATTACTACCCTTTCAATCTCCACCACCACTGCTGCCCTATTCATATTCATTGCTTTTCATGAAACACTTTCCAATTGAACTGTATCTCTTGATTATTACTGCATGAACTAAACCACATGTGCCAGCTAACAATTTGCTAATACTGAGCAAGATAAAGTTACAGCAAAAGTCTTAGGCCCAGTCTCCATAAAACTCACTTGGGGACACTGCCTGAAGTACATTACGCACACCAAGAACACTGAATCCTTACATTATCCAACCAAAAAAAAAATTCTCATGACATCTATTACAACAATCTTTCCTCCCTCCATTAAAAGGGGAATGGTTGCATATCTCTACCCATTTAAGCATCTCTGTTCTCCACTTGGCAGCTTTAACAATTCTGCTCAAGCTGCTTACACTTTCCCCTTCACGTGCTAGCAATACCAGATGCTTCTGTTAATCCTTCCTCTTCCCAGCTATGGTGAAGTGTCCACGGTTCATGACTTTAGGAAAGATGGGTATGGCTTTGCATTTATTCTTGACAGTCTTACTTAAAACCATTGTTTACTACTTCCACATGGAGAGAAACTATTTTAGAAAGATTGTAACAGAAAATATTGCTCTGTATTAAGGCAACAGGCAGAAAAAGTTAGAACACCCTAAAAACTGAAGTGGCTCAGTTTTTTCTCAGTTTTACTGCTTAGTTTTCAGATTTTTCAGTAAAACATCACCAAAAATACCTTGGGGCAGAGGAGAGAGGGGAAACAACCAAAAACTGAATAGCAGACTACCCAGTAGTTGAAAATATAAAGACAAGAAGAAAGATCTTAGTCTGAGAACAGGGATTTCAAAAACTCTGCCAATAGCTACAAACAGAAAAAGGCTGAGATTACCAGCAGAATTCCAAATAATCAGCTTGAACAGGTTTTAGGAAAAAAGGAACACCAGCACAGAAAACCCATTAGCCATACACAAGAACAAGAGCTCCTATACTAAGGTTTATGCCCCAAATATGTCTTCCTCCAACAGTGAAGACATCTTGAATATCCTGGTACTTTAAAAGTTTCTCTCATCCCTGTAACTAGATCTTCAAAACCAGACAACTATTTAAATATTACATGCTACCTCAGCAACATAAGGCACAGGGGAACTTCTTGCTCAGAACTTCATCCTTAGTGTGCCAAAGAATCATGAACTGAGATTTAATCTAGAACTAAATTCAAGGCCATAATGGTTTGGTCTCTACCATTTGTCATTAAAAATCAATTTAAATACAACACTTTCAGCTAAATCATAAATTAAGTGACTTCTTGTTCCATCTACTGGCTTTATTTTCACAGTGACAAGTATAGAGCCATACAGCTCTGAGGCTCATGGCTTAACTTGCCGTTTCATATCAGAAATTAACACTTCTCTTTCTTCTCACAGGGGAAATAAATACTTCTTGCATATTGACCAAATCATTCACTTGTTCCAATGTAAGAGCTGATACACCAGTGCAATGTAATAACTACTTCTGAAAAAGTGAAAAAGCTTCATAACTGAGGTTGAGTTCTCAAGTGAAATAAACTCATCTCTTCAGGCAGTTTTATTCCTACACTGCACACACTTCTGATCAACTGCATTCTCTTTGAACATCTTTCAGAGCCCAGCAAGCCTACACACCTTCCGTAAGGAAAAGGTAAAGACAAATAGCAGTTCAAACAAGGGAAGTGTCATCAAAATCTCACTATCCAACAAGATACCATTATACCATTTGCATGGAACATGAAATCAGAACATAAATGGAGAGATTCTCCAAGGACACTATACTGCCTTACAAAGCAGCCAGTTAGTTCTTCCTCTTTCTACACTGCCCCATTTCCAACAGCTCAATAGCAGGGCCATTAACATAATCTGCTTAAAAAGTGATTAAACAGCTCAAACACTGAAATAAAAACAAATTCCATCACTTCTCAAACTGGATGTCTCCCTGGATATTAATAGCAGCTTACACTTCAGTCTACTGCCTCCAGTTGTCTGCAGCCACAGAGGCATAGCATTATATTCACCCATGAAATCTAGGTATTTTCCTGTAAAAAGCTTTGAGGAAAATACAAAGAAATTCAGT